GGTGAGCGATATCTGTACTTCTACTGAGCTGTTGCCTTGAGGAGAGAAGACACGATGTCAAACATCACTCAAACCAGACTTGGTGGCGTCGCGAACACGGCGGTTGGAGCCCCTGAACTCAGCCTATTGGTAGGCGCCGTTGATCCTCTCCCAGGCACCAGAATTACTCTAGCGTCTCAGATTGACAAGAGAAGGGCATCCCACAAACAATTGAAAAGACTCGAGACTCGAGTATACACAGCCATCCATATAGGAGCCTCAAAGTAAATGAGACCAGCTAAGTGACAGAAAGATGCGAAGTGAATGTTGACAACAGTTCAAGTGAGAACGCCGTAAGCGGACACTTGCGGGTAGTGGTCACGTGAGCTCCCGTCGCGCTAGCTGCCCCGCCAAAGACACATTAACGCGTCAAACCGCGGAGCTGCCTAGATCAAGAGTTAGACTTAGATACTCTTTCACTTCGATGACGGCCTCTATATAGGCCCGTGGCAACTTTCGCTCGCTCCAACTCTCGCTTTCTCCAGTTTGATACCCTCAAAACTCCGAGCTCCAACTTGCTAAGATGGCTTCGAAGCTGGCTTTGAAGTACCAATACAGCTACAACAGCGACACGGACGCGAGCAGTGACTACGACTTCGACCTAACGGCTGAGGAGGAGGATTTGCTGGAGACTATTGTTGCCAGCGCTTCTTCTACCAAGCCTTCTGTCGCTGTTGTTCCTGGGCCAGCTGCTCAAGCCACCGTTGGCGCATCGTCTTTGAGGTCGGATATAGCGGCAGCATTTGCCACCCATGCGAGCGTCAAGTCTCTCTACGAGTCCGAGATCAACTTCAACGTTCGAGAGGTCCTGAGAGACCCGGCATTTACCTATCGCGATGACCCCTCGGTACTATCGGGGCTGGCGGCCACTGGTGGTAGACGCACAGCAGGTGTGGATGACGAGGACACCGACGCCGAGGTCATGGCTATTGTTGAGGAAGCAGAGCGTACCATGCCTCAACCAGGTCAGGCCGGCGACATCAGATACCCGGATTGTGAGTTGACACCCGCTGTACTATATATATGAGTCGCAGGATGGGTCTGACTGACTTCAAGCGTCTAGTGAGCCGAGCATTTGGGAGTGTCATGGATAACTCAGACCCTAACGCGACGGTCGACCAAGCCCAGCAGCAAAGGCTGTCGCCACTACTTCGCTTCCGAAGCTTCCCCAAGAAACCCTTTTCTGTCTCGGACCTGGTCGCCGGCGCATGGTGCGAGCTTCAGTATTTCTATACCCTCACTAAACTCCCCGGAGGAAAGAAGACGAGGACAGCTGCTATGAAGGGCGGGTCAAAACTCCACCAGAAGCTCGAAGACGAAATCTACACCACTGTCACGATAGAGATCACGAAGAAGGAGGACGCTTTCGGCCTGAAAATCTGGAACCTCATACAAGGCCTTCGCACTCTGCGCGACACCGGCATGACGAGAGAGCTAGAGGTTTGGGGTCTTGCGGATGGCCATGTTGTCAACGGTGTTATCGACAACCTGAGCTACGAAAATCCAGATCCCGAGTTTGAAGAGGAAGTCAGGAGCAGCCAGGGCAGCCAGGAACCGACCAAGGGTGCTCCAAACGATCAGAAGATCACCACCTTCTTCCACTCTTCGGCTAAGCCCAAAAATCGCCAGATATTCATCACAGACGTGAAGACTCGCGCTTCGCGTCACATACCGTCCGGCGCTGCCCTGCGTCCGACGACCATTCAGCTTTTCCTTTACCACAGATTTCTCTCCGAGATGGCCGCTGGCCGGCTTGACTTCCTCCGCGTACTCGCTCGTTATGGTCTCGAGCCGGACGAGCAATTCTCCGACACCTTCATTAGCCAAATCGGCAACTTACACGACGAGATCTTCCAAGACGCGGTCGACGACTCCACCACCAAACCAGCATCTAGTCCCGTCTCATCGACCCCGTCATCAACGCCTGACCTAATCAGATACCGAACCCTAAGGCAACTGATATCCCTCCTCGAGACCGAACTCCGCCTCACCTTCCCCGACGGCGCAGGGTCCGTCGGCTCGCTCGTCAACGTGGAGTACCGCAAACGCGCCAGGAGGAACGCGGACGGCGTAGAAGACCCAGACGACGAACAAGCCGGGTCCCTCTTGGGCGCGAACGTGCTGTTTGTTGATCCGAATGCTCTCGATATCTACCTCCGGGCGGATCTGGAGTGGTGGGAGGGCAAGAGACCCCCGCGCGGCGTCCAGATCGAGGAGGCGTATAAGTGTCGCAGTTGCGAGTTTGCCGATGAGTGCGAGTGGCGCCAGAAGCAGGATGCGGACATACTCGCGGCTGTGAAGAAGAGGATTGCTGGGGGGAAACTGAAGGATGGTAGGTAGTCCTAGTTTCGTGAGGAGAGCATATCCCGGCGTGGATTGTCGAGCTATCTCTGCTCGTCACCACTCACCGGTTTCCCACCTTTCGTCTGCGTGATATCAGAACACTCGAACCGATTGAGCATCTCGTCTCTTCATGGTCAGCCCGAAAATTCATCGCGGACCGCAGCGGGATCCCAGTGCAACCTCACTCGTCAATCAAAGGACTGGGGCGTAGCAGCCAATTGACCTTCGCCGTGACGACGGCGATTCCTGTCTCTAGACCCGGTGAGGGATGAAGTCGAAAACGGCCTCAGCTGTCTAGGCTGTGCGGTGCTGGCAGCCTTGGGTTAGTAAGTGTCGGTTTCGCGGAAGAGACCGCTTGGTCCCCAAGTCTTGGGACCGCATGTTTAGGAGGAGCGAGTTCTTGGAGGAGCATATATCTATCTGCCTCCCGGCACAGAGGCTCTGGAGGAACAGGCAGCTCGGAGATGCGGAGGCAGCGGCTGGTCGCGACACAGATGGCTTCCGATAGACCTTTGAGATGCGGCAGCGTGTTTGACACGCACGTTATTAGCTAGGAACTCGCATTCTGGCCCGTTCCTTGACCCGGACGGATTGGGCGAGAAGATGATTGCACAATGAGCATCTTCGGCTTTCGTTAGTCTCCTGTGTGAACACCAAATTGACCAATCGTAAGCGCAGTACGCCGCCAGGATCGTCTCGAAAAAGCAAACATCTCTCAACCCAATTACACTTGCATTTTAACACCAAACAACTTCCCCCGATTCCTTCGGGGGCAGCGTTGCCGCCGACCTTCTTATCCTGTGCACATCTTGAAGTACGATTGTTTCCTGCCGAGGATCTCAGAACTCGGTGCGCGCCACGGCGGATTCTGGCTCAGAACACCCTGAGAAGCCCTCGCCATGGACACCAATATGTCTCCAGAAGAAGCGACTGCCCTCTTACAAGCCACCACCTACCACCGCAAGGAATTCGACCGCATCGCTTTCCGTTCATCCCCGCGCGAAGAGCGGAGCGTCCAGCCGTACATCGTAGATCCATTTCCCACCACACCCACTTCACCCCCAAGCTTCCTCGGACGGCTCCCTCACGAGCTCCTGAGAGAGATATGTCTCGACCTGGATATACGGAGTCTGTTCCGCCTCCGCCAGGTCAACCAACTCACCCGCCAAGTCGTGTTCGGCCTCAGTGAGTACCAGGCCATCACTCACCACGCCCTGGACGCCCTCCGCGCGTCTCTCCTGACGTGCATGGCGCGCTATCAGACGCTGTCGGATATCTACGACCCTCTTTGCGACCCGTCATGCGCGTTCTGCGGCCTTCGGGAGCTTCCTGTTCCTGCCCACAGCTCAACGCTGCTGTTATTCCTGCCTTCATTCGAGTTCCTCCCTAACTGTTGAGACCATGCGCCACATGCACTACGCGTCCGGGTGGAAGGTAGGCTTTCTCAGTTCGACAAGAGTAATCCATAGTTCCGCGTCATCCCGGGCTTCTACACTCGGGACTCCATCCGGGTACACCTCTCTTCCGGATTGTCAATATTGAGACGAGGAGCCACACGGTACAGGGGCCTCGCTCCCTATTACACGCGAGAGAGTTATGACGAACGACATGCGCACACCTACGCCGTTTCGACGGCGTTTCCATACCTTGACCGGGGGGCGGACGAGTCGTTCTACGGCCTCGGCTGCAAGGGATGTTGGAGGCTTGAACGAAAGAACAGGGAAGTCGAGGCGTTGGAGGCGCTGTCTAGTTCCTTCAGGAGGGATCGTCAAGAAGTCAAAGCCTCCCGCGAGTTGTGGAACGAGGTATACTCACGAGAGGGAGTCCTGGAGCATGTCAGGCATTGCGAAGCGGCGCAGGAACTTTGGAGGGCGACGCCGTTGAAGGAAGCTGGGAAGGGCGTGAAGCCCGATAAGCGTAGGAAATTTGGGAAGTCGTGAGCTTTGACGAGGGCGAAGAGGAAGAGGAGAGCCCAATTCTCAGGGTGCTCAAGGCCGGTCTCACTTTCTCCTGCGAACTGAGAGCTATCCCTGATCGTGGTTCTCTGACAAACGTGGAGACATAACTCACAGAATGTCTGTTGCTGGAGACCATAGGGCATCATTTGACATGTTAGAAGGGTTTCTCCAGACTGACCGTAAGTCCCCAGCTTTACGCTGTTGTGTTGTGTCTGCTCGTTTGAACCACCGTTTGAGCACAAGATATGAGAAGTGTAACATCATTTGTCGCGTTGGCAGTGAAGACAATCTCTCACTTGGCCTCTTATCACGTATGTTCTGTGTGAAGTTGTAGTGCACATGAACATTTGGACAGTCGAGTCACCTCGATGGTATGCTTGCAAGCTAGCAATAGATGTTGCCGACGCGTTCTTCTAAGGGTCTTGAAACCGAGGGTATGGGTTCAGGAGCATACCTCGACTGGGAGTGAATTTTGCTAGCCCGTCCTCGTTCCCCTTGGTCGTGGTTGTCGCCGTGTCCGTTGTTCTTTCGTCTCCCACTGCTGACGCTGGTTCTGCACCGTCTCGCTGTGCACCGGAGCTCTTCCTGCCCCACAAGCAGCCCACAGATGAAGATAATCCCCAATTGCGGCCCAGTTCTCCAACAATAGCCCGCAGCGACTCCTCCTTAGCTCAGTTGGCTAGAGCGTCTGACTGTTACTAGACTCCCTCAAACGGGGTTGAACACAAAATCAGGAGGTCCACAGTTCAAACCTGTGAGGGGGAGTTTTCCTTTTGCAGCAGCGTCACTCGACGGCGTGGAAGTGAAGCTATCGCGATCTTTTGTTTTGTGCGCACATTTTGGTCGCGAGGAGAACATTCAAGGCAGGTGCGACTTTTCAAATGTTTGTTAGCGTGCCTTCTTGTCTATTTTCTGAGTTTTCGGATTTGATTTGCGCTCCTTCTTATTGCACTCTCATACTTTTGGGCGTGGATGCATGCAGAACTTCACACTCGAAAATTCAGCACAACAATGTTCCCGTGGTGTTTTTTACTTCTGGCAATTGCGTCGCCGTCTCTCGCATCTCAATTGACAGTTGCAATTGTCGTCGAATTGTTGGCAATGGTGTGGCATTCAGAAAAATTGTCAGTAGTTGATACATCAACGAATCCCAAACTGAGGATATCTTGTCCTGGTCTTCGCGATTCTACGAAAAACCGGCAATGGACAAATCGCTAGCATATGCGATAACTAATACACCGCTGCCATCTAAGAACTTACTTCTACCTCCTCAAGTAGTGTTGACAATTGCCACCGCACTACATCCGCCGCCCTACGCTTATTGCTCGAGTGGTCGATCGGAAGATCCATTGATTAGACGACGACAAGACACTCCGAAGACACCAAGTCAGGACTGCAAGAGACTGTGGCCAGGTCGACTCCCCTGAATTCAACACCTACACCCCAGTCTTGTAACCCCCAAGACTCGCACCGCCAAACCCACCATCATACCTCGTCGCCGCCCTCGCCCTCGCCCCTCTCGCACTATACGTCCCATTAAAGCCAGCATACTTCCCCAAGCTAGGCGGCAAGTCCTGCACCCTCGTGCCCCAGCTGCTCTCGTTCCTCCCCAGCGTCAGCACCAACTCCTTCCCCTCGGTAAAGAAGCTGTGATCGATCCAATTCCTCGTGTAATCCACCCCGTCCAGCGTCGCGCTCTGGATGTAAATCATGTAAATCCCCTCGTAACTCGGGTCAAAGTTCACGTTCCTCACCCTCGCCGTCTTGCCCGTCAGGGGGTGCGTCACATTAACACTCTCGAAGAAGGGCGGGGTGATGAGGTACACGTCCTGTCCCGGGTTGGGGAACAGGCCCATCATGGAGAAGGCGAGAAACGAACCCATGGCGCCGCTGTCGTCGTTACCCGGCAGACCGTCCGGCGTGGGCGCGAAGAAGGACGGAATGTAGAAGTGCGCCCGCCTCGCGGATAGGGCCGGGCGGCCGGCGTAGTGGTACTGGAAGACGGTCAGGAAGGCGGGCTCGTTGCCGATGTAGGTTATGTTCTGGTCGTGGAGGTAGTCTAGCCTGCGCACGAAGGCGGAGGGCCCGCCGTAGAGGGTCATGAGGGTTGCTTGGTCGTGGGGGACGAAGCTGGCCACCGTCAGCAAGAGCTGTTGCAATACGACAACCACCACCGGGATGTTACTTACAATCCGTACTCCCAGATGCTGCTCTCAAACGTCTCCCTGCCGGTGTTCTGCAGGGAGCAGACGCTAAAGGTGTCGAGGTTACTACAGTTCAGCGGGTTCTGGTACGCCCACGTCTTGTTCAGGAAGCGCGGCTCGAAGAACCCGACGAAACCGGTGTCGGTCCCGTTCCAGAACGACGACAGCTCGTCCGCCTTGTACAGGTTCTGCCAGTTGCCGCTGGACGTCGTGTACTTCTCCGCATCAGCTGTGTGTCCGAGCTTCTCCGCCATCTGGGAGATGCAGAAGTCGTTGTAGCTGTACTCGAGGGTCCGCGAGATGCTGCGCGTCATGGTGCCGAAGCCCTTGTAGTCGAAGTCCTGGACGGGGATGTATCCGAGGCGCTTCCAGCTGTCTAGCCCGCCGCGGCCTTCGTTCGACCAGTCGTAGGGTTCGACTTCGGCGTCTTTTACTACGGCCTCGTAACCTTTGTCCCACTGGCAAGAGATCAGTATAATACGGATGTGACTGGATGGTGTTACGTACGTCAATCCCGTCCTCGATGCCCTTCAGGAACGCATCTGCAAGCACGTTGTCGGCGTTGGAACCGCCCTAGTTGTATGTGTCAGCGGCAGACTTCTTGCCCAGTGTAGCGAGAATACCCACCTGCGTGTAGCCTTTGCACAGGCTCATGTGACAGTCAGGGAGCCATCCCTGGTGGACATATGTGTCTATGAGAGACCGGACCATCTCGGCGACCGCACCAGGATCGAGAATCGTCAGGAATGGTATCTGGGACCGGAAAGAATCCCAGAGACTTTGACTGTCAGCCTTCGCGCGTGCATTCCCATGATTAAATCTGACCTACCAGTAAAACGAGTCAAAGTACGGCTCACTACTCGACCAGAGCGGGTTCTCGCCAGTGTAGTTCTGCGGGTTGATCATAGTCCTGTAGATGCCGCTGTAGAAGTTGGTCACCAGCGACTTATTCACCCCCTCCGTTGCCACCTTCATTGGGCTGAGTTTCTCTCGCCATACATCTGTTGCGGCTTTCGCAACTCTGTCATAGTCAAAGTCCGGTATCTCAGTCTCGGCATGGCCACAAGCCTGCTCAACGCTGATGAAGCTCGTTGCCACTCGCACCAAGATAGGATCAGCCGCCGACTTAAACCTCACAAAGGCGCCGCCCGGTAACGGGTATCCATTGATCGAGCGCGAGATCGTCAGGTCCTTGACCGCCGTGCTGGCGCGACTGTTGGCAAAGATCCCGTTGTCGAGGACATCCGCGCCGGCGAAGTCGGTGCAAAAATAGAGCACGTAATTGCTGCTCCCGAAGCTGGGGAGGAACCTCGCGCTGCCGGTGATGCGTCCGCTGTCACCCTCAACTGATACGGTGGCATTATCTTGTCTCGAATCGGATAGATCGGACAGGTCCTGCAGAATCAGCGGCTGCGCAGGCTGTCCATCGGCTCCCGTCCTGGGAAAGGTGAACTTGAACAGTGCCGTGTGCTGCGTCGTAGTCATGTCCGCACGGATGCCGCTGTTGAGCGTGATCCCAAAAGCTCCCGGTTTCGCAGATACGCTCTCGTTGGCAAAGGGGCCGAACCGTGCTCGACTCTTCTTTGGAAACACGCATTCGTTAACGTCGCCGCCGGGACAATTCGTATACGGAAATAGCGGGAAGTTTCCCAGACTCGGATTCCCGCCCGTACCGCTGTCGTGCATGACGCTGAAGCCGGTCACGTTCGCCCCGTCCAAGGTGAAGCCACCCTGGTTGCTGCCGCTGTTGGTATCGGCCACGGCCTTGGCCATGCCGTAGGGGAGCGAGGCGCCGGGGAAGACATTGCCGCCATTGCTGGCGCCGATGAGCGGGTCGACGTATATCAACGGATCGAAGGCCGTGTTGTCGCTCAGGGCGAGGCCCAGAAGGGTGCTCAGCGCAAGTAAGCGCGCCATTGCAAGTGAAGAGGCGGAGGAGATCCAATGCGAAGCCGTGCGAGCAACGAGAGACGGCAGCACCATACGCACCCCGTCCTTGATATGTATTCAGCACGAGATCACGTACGATGCACGAGACCCGCCGTTGATGGCTTCATCCTTCATCCCCCCCATAGCTCAGGCAATCTCTTCTTATCTTCTCCAACAAATATGCTGTTGTGGACCCATGTCCAGGAAACACCGGCACAGCATGTGCCTTGCAGCCCGGGCGGTTCCAAAGTGCCCTGCCGCGGTGCCGTTCCATTGCGGTCCAATTGCTGGTGAATTTTGCCGATCGTGACCACAAATTCCGGGTTGTTCGCGGGAGTGAGCTGCTTCTTTGGGGTTCCCGGTTATTGAATGTCACCTGGAGAACCCCCGTATATGCAGTTCCTCCACGTCGATGCCGGTCAGCTGCCGGTGACCAACGGCAAACTGGATAAGCACTTGCCTGTCCGGGTATGTTGACGCAACCCCAAGGTTACGGTCGACGTCATGTCGAGGTTACCGTAATTTTCGAGATAAGTCCATACCTCGCCCGGCGAGCACAACACCCTGTCCGGGCTAGGTTTGCTGAAGGAATAGTACGCAAGTAACGATGCAAAGGGCAGACGGTACGGTTGATCACGATGCCTCTGACTGAATATGTGATGACTTATTCTGGTTTGCTGGCAGAGCCCCCGGATGGCAGACCAGCTGTCTGCATCCGACAATCCTCCTTGCAAGATGGGTGGTCTGTATTGCCAGGCCATATGTCTCGAGCCGGATCTTGCGACGATGGTCCATATAAGAAATCCCTCGCCTCGTTGTTCATCAAGCTGCAGGCTCTCGAGAGCCTTTCCGGAACTGGTGTCTCGGGTAGAGCTGGAGGAGGATGGCGGTAAGGGTAGTCCGAAAGGCGATGAAACATTGTAACCACGGCTTCCGGGCTGTCCGACGCCCGATCAAGCTGGTAAAACCTCGAAAAGTATCGTCGTTTCGACTTGGGGCGAAGCATCGGAGGCAGCTTCTCGAAGGCACGCATACTGAGAGAAGAGTGAGAAATACAAGTTAGGTAGCTCGTAGGCCAGGGACAGAGTTGTGTAGAAGTAGAGGTAACTTACCAGACTGTATTCGAAGGCGACGCCAACTTCCCGACACGACCTTCACTCCGTGCCCATTCACGATTGTCGCTCCATAGATATCCAACAACAAGCCAGCGGCCCGTAAACCAGTTCGGCTGCTCTTCAGTCCGCTCAGAGAAGACAACCCGCTGGCCCCATTTCAGCAGCGGAAAGCCATTACGCTTTGAGTTGCTGGTTGGGTATTCCACCTTGACTTGGTGATCTCGCCATGACACGGTGCTGCCAAGTCCGCTCTCTAGTTGTTCGGGGAGGTCGGCAAACAGACACCGGAGCAGGAGATACCACGGCGTCTGATTCCGGATGCTCTCGGCGTGATACTGCTCTGGGAAGTAATGGTACGAGATCATCCACTGGAAGGGCCGCGGTTGTGGTGCGGCAAGGGTTTTGGGTAAGAAGATACGTGCCAGACTGCGTCGGTTCTCGCGTTTGATTGCTTTGGCTATGAGTTTGTTCTCGTCATCTCGCTCGGGACGATCTCGCTCGGCGGAGAGTGGGCCAT